CTAAGACCCGTACCCAGATAACCTCGGCGTCAATCACCTGTAAGACTGCCTGAGCTGCCTGACCTCGAGTCAATTGCTCGCCGGTCCCACCCCAGCCGGGCGACGGATGCGCGCTGCTTCCTTTCTTCCCCTGCGTCCACCTGAGCAGCCCTCCAACGTTGCTGCACTTGAGGTCTGCCTGCCATTGGACCGCTGCGGGGGAATACTCATGTCTCAAACTTTGTTTCCATGTCCTTTCCCCCCTGCTTCGAGCCCCTCTAGCTTTCGCCATCTGCTCCGGAGTACTCCTCCAGAGCTAGTCTTGCCTCACTAGCGATCGACGGCCGTTCCTTCCAATTCTCCTTGTCCATCTCTGACCATCTCTAACCTGAACAAGGCGCCGCATCTTTGTCATGCCGCATGGGAGCTCGAGCATAGCACGCGCAATGCCTTTCATGCGTGGGCAACCCGCTCCCGGCCTTGTCGTCCGCACCCAGCGAATGCGGCTGCAGATCCATCAGCCTCATCTCACTTGCGAGGAAACAATTGCTTCCATTATGCGGCCTCGCGTCGCTGCGCCGGCCTTTCAGGTACAATTAATAGCGCGTTTCAGCGCTTGCCAATCCTACGCGAACTACCCGTCCCTGCGCTTGGCACAGGTGACGAAGCTGCAGCACCTCTGCGGAAACCGCAGTCAGCGAGGGGCATCGACTGCAAGGCCGCCTCTACTACACGCGCAAAACTACCGAGCCCCTTGACCTTGCTCCTTTCCTGCAGACGCATCAAGCCACCGCAGTTGTGCGAGAGAACGTGATTGTTTCTAGCGCCCTCGACCAGCGCCATGTGGCTTTGGCTCGCCATCCACCACACCCCCTTTCTGCGAAATTGTCAAAACTCCTAAACCATCCATGAGTCTAGCATAGTCCCTCCCGCGGACGGTACCCTACTACGGAATATATGCTCGCAATTCTCCTAGACATCCGCTACCTGCTGGAACTTGCCATCAGACTACATAGACGCACTGTGCCTGAGTGATTCATGTCCACGCGCGCAGGCGCACTACATCCCAACTAGGAAGTCCCATCGCCTAGACTCTCCCGCCACTTTTTATCCGTCTTTACATCAACAAGCATCATTGTACGTTAGATATATGCATCTTCAAGGTTGTGGCTAGGAATCAAACTTGGATGTGAAGCAAATGGTCCAAGACAGACAAGTTGTGACCCCCACGTGACCGGCAGCTGACGCCCTTCGACACGAGGCGGCATGTCAATACTATGCGTGCTATGAACTGAGCACATCCTGCGTGCCTTCCTCAGCCAGTAGACGACCCCGCGGTGAGCAACGTGTTGTGACTGTGCATCGTGCAACCTTGAAAATACTGAGACATGTCGTCATTATCTCCTACGTCGCTTCCTCATTGAGCGTCCATGCCTTATCTTCATATATTCCAACACTCACTCTGCTTCGCCCTGCCCGCCTCATTCCACTCGCCCAGAAAATGCTAACAGTGCAGACGGAGATGAGCGGACATGTCAACCACTATGGTCCAGCGGCCTATCTTCAAGCAAGAGTCATAGCAACATCTCGAGCACATCCGCAAAATCTGCCGTCGCTACTGCCTTCCCACGGTAGTAACTGAGCCCCGAGCAGGCCGGAATACAGTAAGTGCGATGATGCCCAACTGCTCGCGTACTAATTCTGTTATCCACAATGTAATAACAGCCGGCTATTATAGATACTAAATTCGCGACTACGGGACCCATATGCACGACATGCCTTGTTTCTTCGCGGATCATGACCCCACTGCGGAGTTTGTCGTCGATTATTGGAGATAAGCCGGCTGCTATGGTCACCAATATCATTGTGTATGGCCGTACGCATCGAGCTCTTTCCCGAGGTTGTGAGCAGATACCTATTCAATGCTCTCCAGCACACAAAGTGCGGCTGATGCCATTGTCTCTCGCTCTTTCCGCACTAGGACCGAAGGAAGATCAGGACCCACTATCGTTACAAGTTCCAAGTTCCAAGTTCGTACACCCGAGCCACGAGTTCTTCGAGATACCATGGCTAGCTGCATACCGCCAACCCCGGTCCACAGTTCGTCTCAGAATCTGCAAAGCCGGCACGTGGCCGGGAAGTGGAGATGCTCGACGCAGTTGTGTCGTGAGTTCAAGACAGGAAGGCAAGGCCACTCTATACTCTGTTTGCCAGTTTTCGACGTTGCAAAGAGTGCGGGGTAACACCAGTAATAAAGTTGTCAGCGTTGTGTAGCTTTCCACTACTCCGAGACATTCACCGTCTTACACGTGCGCTACACGCGAGATGTCGGCTACTGCAACCTGGCTCCACATTGAACTTTATTTCGACGTGCATTCGGACACCGAGTCAAGATTACCACCCGCCGTAATCGCTTCTCTTCCATCTCGCCACACATATTCTGTCCTTTTTTGACAAATTGTCTTTCCATTACGGCCCGTTTCCAATGCACCCGAGCCGTTGACTCCGCTTTGTGGTCCTTCACTTACGGGAAACTGCTAGGGCCCGCGACGGGATGCGAGCAACCAATCGAGCATCTTCCAAACCGGGATGACAGCAACGGCTATCGGGTACGTCAAACTACGATCGACTATGAACTCAATCGAGCTCGGTCTCATGCGAGTAGACAGACCGTCGATTTCCTGTAAAGTCCGCTATAGCTACGCCGCCTACGTGGCCTTCTGACACTTTCAACGTCGAGCAAAATGTGGCATGAGGCTGTAACATCTGCTACACTACCAGCCGGTCAATACTTTCTAAAGTTAGCTCTTCTAGAACAAGCCACTTACATTCTTGGAGACGTCGGACACATCTCGGCTCGACCCGCCTAGAGACCTGACATTGCAGGACTACCCCCCTCAACATACTTCTCAAACCTCAACGGTAAAACCGTTGGATTCACAACCTTTTGCGGTTGCATGCAGCCAGAACAAGGCCGAGTTCTAGATTGATGCATGAACACAGGGAGCTATCCATCTTAGGCTGCGGCTGCGGATGCAATGTCGAAACCCTCCGCGCAGTGCGGTCAAATCTACTGCTATCAGGATCTGCTTACATCACTGGATGCGTACATCACGCTCCTCAGATTACTAAAAGATGTATGAGATGCGCTTCAGGTTATACGTACACGTCGGAATCATGAATGCGACGACGACCTAGCATCACCGGCACCTTGACGATCGAAACCAACTCCAACATGCATACAACATCAGACCACCATATCGGCAATGAACCAAATCTTTGCTTGCTCTGGATACTACGTTCTCACCACCTGAATTGTTAGACATCGTTCAGGCCTGCCATCAGCACGAGCACGGACACACCACACCATCCGCTTAAACTCCCGTCAACCGTCTCCATCTACCAACCCACGACCAAAAGATCCCACATACCGTACCCACCTACTCCAATCTCCAAATTTCCAAGTTCTTTCTCCTTTACCTCGCCTTCGCAACCGCGTTCTCATGTCCGACCGTTTTTTCCTGCTCCCCGTCGATCCAACGTTGGTTCCTGCCCAAAATGCACGCAAGCCAACGACGAGTCATGCAACTGCATCTCGCGTCTGCAGCCCGCTGAACGTGATCACACCGCTGCGTCCCCGCACAGCCGCAGTAGACTCGGTGCGAAGAGTATGATTACAGTAAGGTGTTGATATTTTTATGCGAACTAATTCCTTTGCCGCGAGGTGCATGAAACATGTATAATTGATCGGTTATTGCATAACGGTTTTTTATGTATTGTAGATCCGGGGTACTTGATCGAAGGGGACGACGATCGAAGAATATGGAAGTGGTTTTTGAATGATGGAAGGTGAGGGTTTGGATTATTGTATTGATGTGGGACTGTAAGAGACGTTTGAATACCTTGCTTAATGTACGCGCGACGATCGAAGAGTTCTAGAGCATGTAGTACACTTGCTACAGAGTATCTTGATACCATCTCACGGTTCTCACCGTCCAAACTTGAAATCACAAGACATGACAAAGCGCAATACTCTAAGGCCAGAGTCAGTATGTTGATCATAATTCGCTAACAATTCAGTAAAACGCAGCCTCTACTCCCTTCTACCTTATCGCTCATTTCCAACCTCTTCTTCTAACAACAAGTTTCTTATGACGTCCGTCCAGCCGGATAAGCCTGTGCAGTCTCCTGGCAACAACAATAAGACCAACAAGATATCACATATCCCGATAAGTGTCGTGATCTACGAAAGTCTACTCTGTTGGGCAGAGACGTCAACAACCAAGCCTGTTGATCTAGAATGCTTGGCTTGGCTGAGAGGCTTGACTCGCCTAAGCCTCATCATATTGGACGATTTGTTAGCAACATAGTTAATGGAGCGGAAAAACGAGGGAATGGCAAGCTTCTCTTCCTGCTGTGCTCTTCTTTGCTGGTCCTTCTATTCTCCCTTTTTAATTGGACAGTGAAGGAATATGAACAGGTGCCCTGCCGTCTAGGTTGATATCAAAATAAGAGTTGATCAATTTTGAACGCATCGTAGGTTCCTGGGTTCTGTGTTTTCTCGTGTTTGTTATCTTCTGTACCTGAATGCTCGATATCTCCCTTCAACGGGGTAACTCCCAAGGTCTCTATTTTCTATCAGGTAGAGGGCTGCCGATCTGGCCTATCTCACTAGTGCTATCAGTCGATCTTCAGCGTGGCTTAATGGTTAAAAATCTTCGTTCCTATTAATACGGCTCGATGGGTTCGTCTTACAATCTTCTTCTAGATTCAGCTAGGACTATCTTCTCGGTCACATCAGCAACAGGAGAAACTTGCACTGTCATAGCTAATAGTAAGAGCCTACACGTGTTCTTGCTTTGGGTTGTGTTGTAATATCGATGTACAGGCCTAGAGCTAAACTGATAGAGTTACTTGCTTTAACTTAAGTTGTCAAGCACGACCGGTAAGCTCGACCGACATAATGACCAACTCCCACACGGATCTACCTTATGCAGAGGATTTGCGAACCCTCTTTTTCTTTACCCGGGCTTCACTCTCTTCAACATGGCCGAGAAGATGAGACCGATACAATTCGAACATCCTGCCAGTGATAGAGGGGGGGCAGTGATGTTACCGTTCCAGATTTTGACAAACGTGCGGTATCCATAAGGCAAAGCTTCATTGATCTTTTCGATAGCCCAGATTGAAGCGTCGTTTGCGAAATCGACGTCTCCGTAGAGCTCATTGAAGTCGATAACGAATTGGCGAACCGCAGTTGACGTCCTTAGGTCGTCAAGAGAGCTGATGACTGCACGGGCGCGGTCTGACAAGACTTCGTTTGGCGTCTCGTAGTTAATGTAGCTGATAATGGCCTCCAACGCGGATGCTGGCGAGTTGGTGTTTCTGGCCTCCATCCACACTGATGGCTCGATAGCAGCGTGGAGGAGAGCTAAAGCCGAGCGAGAGGCCACGTCATAGTCCTTCCACTGTTGAAGACGAGTGTTGTAAACAGCGAGATGGTACTCCCAACCCTGCGGAATGAATTCCTCTTGACCCTCATCGGCGGCTTGTCGAGGTGCGAGGAAGGCGGGCGCAATGGGCTTTGCGACTACTTCAGCGTTGTCCTTGAAGTGTTCAGCGTAACCATGGATCTTTGCAATGTCTTTGAAAGACTGAAACCAGTCTGGGAAGTTCTCGGGCCCAGAGAGCTTTGTGAAGTTGTCGCCTAGGGCGATGGTTGGATCGTTGATGGCGGCCATAGTTGACTGTGGTAGTGGTTTCGCATGAGACCGCGGCGAACTTGTGCGCTTGTAATCTGCCGCGGGTTTGTAGTGAGTAGCCTGGTCTGGTGACTGTTGCCGCGAGTGTGGTTAGTCGCGTGAGTATGACGCAAGTCCTGGCGGTATTTAGCGTCCAAGTGAAGGTTCAGTGGACAGGCTATACGATACAGGATGGGATGAGTGCCCTTTTGGACTGCTTTGACAGGAATACTGTGTAGACAGCTAGTAGAAGACGGGTCGAGTTCACAAGCGGCAAATGGAGAGGCAATATATGTAGATCATATGTATTTCAGAACATAAGGAGAAAGTGGTATTATCCTAACAAAACAACAAATTACAAGCAGACATACACAAGAGCCATCTGCCCATCTGCCTAGCGCAATGGAAGAAAAAGACAGCCACCTTGGAGAATACAATCCTCCCAGAAAGCGTTTTTCCCTCCACTACTGATCCTTAGGCTCTGATACCCACATACTGGAGTTGCTTCCATCCATCCATCTTTGTTCGGGTATGATCCACAACGACGACAACAACAACTCTTCTCATTGAAACATAAGGAATGACCCAAAGTACACAAGGGGGGTCGTCGGACAAGGGGGTGTTCTCAAGGAGAGTAACGAAGTGCAAAGCAAGAAAATAGGGTCCCTAGCCGTTCAACGCCGGGGGTAGGTAACATGGTAAGGAAAAGGGCATCAATGCTAATCTCGTTTCGATCGCTAATGATAAAACAAAGTAGAGGAAGAATGGCGGCAAGCCGCGGCGACGACTAGCTTATCGCATGTTGTGGCGTACAGCGGTGTTGGGGCGCTGCAGTGGTTGCGCGTACTTGGACACGGGAACCATGTGAGCGTCGAGATCGTTGTTACCGTCTACGTCGTCATCGTCTTCGATGATGCGTGTTGGTACGACGGGGATGTCGTGCGATCGGTGCTGTAGGCTCGTCCGGTCTGGTGTTGTGCTGGCACTGGCCATGGACATGGAGGTGCTGGACCGATGGCTTAGATCGGGCGTTGGGGGGATGCTTGAACCCCGGTTGGGGCGGAGCATGTTGTCCTCGTCGCCGTACTCGCTGCCAATGGTTGATTGCGCGCGGCCTCCGGCCGATGACATTTGGCCAACGCTGCTGCGGCGGTCGCTGTGATTGTCGCCATCTTCTGTGTCGGCACGCTGGGCGAGCTGAAGACCCTCAACAGCTGCGGCGCACTGCTCTGAGATGTTGCGGATGATGTAGGCGATGGCGTCGGTCTTGTCGCGAAGGACACGGTCGGCGACGTCGACCATTGATTGATTCGAGAAGCGCTTGGAGTTGCGTGCGGGGTTGTTGAATAGACGCTGCTCCATGTCGGGTGTAACGTCCTCACCGTCGAGGTGCTTGCCCTGCGCAGTGCTGGCTCTTGACTCCTGGCGGCTCTCGACACCGGCTACGCCGCGGATAGTACCGACCTCAGACTTGTCCTTGATCGAGTGACGGGGGGTTTGATGGCGCGACGCCGCGTCTTCGAACTCCTCCTGGTCCTCATCCTCCTCAGGCACGTCTTCGAAGCCGGCGTCCATGTAGTTGGACATGTCATCCTGGTTAAGGGACTTGACAATGTGCTCCATGTGGTGGGTCTGACCCTCGATAAGAGCACGAAGGTGGAGCACAACCCGTTGCGCCTCGTCGCGCTGGCGCTGGATGGCACCGTTGGTATGTTGCAGAGCACCAAGCTCCTTCTTGTTCTTCTTCCTCTCGCGCTCGAGCTCCTCAGCGATCTCTTGCTGCAGTACAAGCGCTTCGAGAGCATCGTCACGTTGCTTCTCAGTACCAGACAGACGGACAGTAAGCCTCGCGGCATCATCCTTCTGTTGGTCGATGAGACTTGTAAGACGGCGGTTCTCACGCTTGTGGTTCTCGATCTTGACCTTGAGATCCTGGGTCTCCTTGGTGAGCTGCTCAGCGAAAGCCTGGAACTTGAGGAACTGTTGCTTCCAGCTCTCAAGCTCTTCGACCAAGAAGTTGTTGCGCTTCGTAACCTTGCCAAGCTCGCTGTCGAGGCGCTGCTTGAGGTTGATGAAGTCTGTCCAGGCTTCCTGTGCGTCACGGGAGTACTGGTTGCGCTCGCGAACGATCTCGTTGAGGTGGCGCATCGACACCTTGGTCATCAGCGGCTTCTTGACGGAGCCACCGAAGATAGCCTTGACGCCAGTGTTGCGGCCCTGCGGTGATGTTAGCGTGTGGTACGATGAGTCTATGCGCAACCGGATACATACCAATTTCTCACACACGTGGTCCATGACCGACATGACAGCATCCTGGGTCCACCAGTCGGGGTCCTGGATGCTCTCAACCTCCCCACGCATCACAATGATTTGACCCGCGGGGATCAGCTTGCCGCCACCGTACGCCGAGCGCAGATGCTGTGGAACTCCGGTTGGTGAAACCTCACCGTTGAGAGCTTGAGTCAGACGCTGGATCATCTTGGTCCTCTGGCCGGCGGTAAGAGCGGTTGGCGGGCTTGAAGTCAAGACGAAGTTCCTGTCCAAGTCGACGACAAGGGCATCTGTGGGAGCCGTGAAGAGCGATCGGCACTCTGATGTTACACCCAGAATGTATGGGCCCGGCTCCTGCACGAGATCCTTGACGTGACGCGCATGAACGACGGGTACATACAGACCGCTCCACTCGTACACCCTGACACAGAAACGGACTGTCTCGGCTGCGATGGTGAGCATCGCGGGGTAGTGACTGGTGAAGATGATTCGTCGTGTGGGCGATACAGCAGCCTCTATCACACCCACAATGTTGGGAATTGAGAGACACGTGAAGAGGGGCCACATGGCGAAGTTCTGGAATCCGGTGGGCGAAGATGGGAACTGGTAGCACAGCGCGTAATCCTTCATGTCGATGCGGACCAGGTCGTTGAGGCGAGGAGCTGGGAAGCTGAGGATGCGCGATACCTCCTCGGCATGGAAAAGGTTGGTAGCCTTATTCCAGTGAATCCACATGCCGCGCAGGTAGTCGCCGAGTAGGTTGTACAAGGGGTACCGGGAGAGGAAGCTCAGGCAGTACGGGATCCAGTATGTCTCATCTGGGTTGTCGAAGAAGTCGGGCTCGATTCGCTTGCGCAGGTCGCGAATAGTCTCAGCACGCTTCTCATCAGCGCGAGACCAGACGCGCAGTGCGATACCGTAAAGAGTGTGTGAGGAATCTTGTTGCAGGACGAAGGAGTGGTGTACGCAGTGCGGCTGGCTCCTGCCAGTGCAGATCTCGACGTCGTGGGGGAAGCATGCCTGTGTGAGTGGTTAGTAGCGCGACAACAATGACCTTGTTTGTATAGACGTACTCGCATGGCAGCATGAAGAGACCTTGCGATCTCATTATCTTGCTCCAATCTGGGGCTGCTTCCCAGAATCTCAGGAAGCCAGAAGGTACCAACGGCACCCTTCATGTGGCCAATCTTGCCCTGAGAGGGCGCAGGCGCCTTCACCCATTGTGATGGCTCGCGACCAACACCACACACCATGTAGGCATGGGTCAGTGTCTTGGGGCTCCTCGCGCCCTGCTTGACGTTCAAAGTCGATGGAAGTGGTTGGGTGATCCTCGAATGAAGCGATGATGTCCGGCTCGGGATGATGAGGCTGTGGTCGGCATTGTCTCTCGTGGGAGGACGCTCGCTGGCGCCTGTACGCGGTCGCAAACTTAAAGAAGGTGCCATGTTGGCGGATTCGATGTCGGTCCTATCGAGATGGCCGTTGCGGTATGGGTGTAGAGAACGGCAGGCGGATGAATCCAGCAATTATTATGACAGCTATAACTGTGAGAACATGAGGCGATGCGTAGAAGGTATCCGAAAGGCAACCCGCGAGAACAAGAGAGAGCGGACCGTGAGTACTATACGCACTCCGTCAATTGAGAGCTCCGAGGTCACCTTGCTGCGGGCAGTAGAGGAGGGTAGCAGCAAGGGGGAATCATGGCTTTTGGGGAGCTCTGCCGCAGCGCGCGGACTGGATGCTGGGGGTTGAACGACCCGAAGACTAGCATGGGTGGCTTTCACAAGTTTCGGTTCGAGGAAATGAGAAGCATATCCCTGCCCATTCGCAGGGTCCGTCTCGGAGCACGGTGCACGGCGCTGTCAGGGGCACTTTTCTTGAATAACGGCTCGCCCAACTTCCTCGAGCGGGCGCGACGGCAGCAAGGGCCGCAATCAAAGATACGGCTTATACACAGTACATTGTTATGTCGCCTCGCTCTTTGCACTGTTGTAACGTTTCCTGCAGCCACGTCCAACATCCGGAGGTCTGGTACCACGACTCGGTCACCGAGAGTCCGCAGCGGCCTCAGCAGAGAATCCCCGCTGGTGGCAATAGCGCCATACGGACTGGTCTTATGCTGAATACCGCATTGGGTTGGATTCGAATCATTCGCACGCCTTGTGCACGATGAGCACGTCTGCAGCGTGCATCCTCGCATCAGCATGCATGAGCAGAGTTCCCGCACTTGCAGCTCGGACGGACCGCGAATGGAAGTGCTTAGAAATTGGCGAGGCAAACCCCTGACGGCTGTTGGCTATCGGTGGCTGCCCAGCAGGCGGTACATGAAGATCGCTCTTAGGCCCGCCGCCAGGCACGTTTGATCCTGCGTGGGAGTGCGAGGCCTTTCTGCAGAAGGTCCAAGACGCGCCGTCGAGCTGTCGACCAGATTCTTCGATCGGCTCCACAGTCCGGTAAAGGTGGTGGCCACGTACAGTAGCCTCGCGTGTCGTGGACCCTCTAGAACCAGACTTCTGAGCTGTCCGTTGAGAATTGCGGAGAGCTGGAATTGGTGAGGCTGAAACACCGGGCACTCAAGCTGCCTGGCAAATCGGGCGCCTTCGCCCAGGTTCGGTCAAGCTGACATGGACAAGACGTGTTGCAGCCGGACAGAGCGAGAACGACTCGATTGCCTCTCAACAGCTGTAGACGAGCGCAAGCGCATAATCGGCGTAGTCGACGACTTGTTT